ACAGGCGATTTCGCCTCCTTTGATACATGTGCACGACAGAAGGAATGAGAGAGAGAGGGGGGGGGGGGACAGAAGTACGGAGAGATGAAGGGTAGAAATAAATAAGCAAATCAACCTCAGGGCTACACCAAAGCAAAAACGGAATGGGAACATACTACAGGTCCTCCCTCGTTAGTAGATAATCTCTGGGCCATCGAAAAAGTTATCTGTCGAAAATGTTATCTTATAACGAGACTTATCTTGTAGCAGGATTTGCAGCTAAAGGTAAAATAGGCACTACTTCGTACTTACCGGGGCTACCCTCGATACAACATAAATTATCGATGCTTCAACTCGTTATAAGATAATCGAAAATCTCCAACATAACTCTTCCTTGGATCCAAAGGATCGTCCATATTCACGAATACATAGACATAATACGTTTCCTCTTTCTGCTTTATCCTACGTGTTTTGGCCTTGGTCCTGCATGGTCAATACTATTTTATACTGAGGGTTTGGCACTCCAGGGACCTGGGCAAAGGGTCGTTATAACGGATTTTATGTACTAACGGATTATGTTGTAACCGGACCTGTAGACAGTTGTATAGACCACGTTTCGCCAGGGGATTTCAGATTTCTATTTACTAACGGGGTTTATGTACTAACCGGACTCGTTATAACGAGGGGGACCTGTATTATACAAAATAGCTTCATACAAAATAGCTTCATACATATATTGCAAAACACGTTTACTGTTCTTCAGTCCGCTATACCACAGAAACACACTAGCCGAAAAGCATTTAAACGGAGCCATGATGCGCTTTTAGCAGGGCACAGAACTGAAGGTGGCTGGGCTCGGAACGGAGATCAGGCGGGAGCTGGTTCCACAGGACTGCGCCGATGAACTGCATGGTCGCTCGACCCGCAGGACCGGGCCAAAATGGTACTCGAACGAGGTGATGTGCTGCTCCCCGAGTGCGGTCACCAGTAACTCTCACGAAGAAGCTGGTGAAGAGGGAGCTAGCTCGGGAGAACAGACAACGACGGACAAAGATGAGGAGCTTAATGCTAAACATGTCCTCCAGGGTGGTGAGGCGGAGCTGTTCAAAGATCGGGCTAGTGTGCGACCACGGTGGCAGACCGAAGAAGCCGCGGATAGCGCACTTCGTTAGACGTGTGAGGGGCTCCATGTTGCCAATTTGAAGTGACGGATAAAAGGCGTTGGAAGCGTACGACAACCTACCCTGGATCATCGACCTGTAAAACAGGATCTTTGACGCCAGGGTGAGGCTTCGGCGGCTCCGCCACAGCTCACCTACTGACTTCCGCACCTGCTGGATTGTGTGATTGACGTGAGGCTCCCAGGAGAGCTGCCCATCTACCATTACGCCCAGGTACCGCGCTTGTTCCACAACTGCAAGGGCTGCATTCCCACAGCGAATTCGAATGTTATCTGTGTCAGGGGCTGGGCCTCTTGGGGTAATCAACAGAGCTTGAGTTTTCTTTTGGTTCAGCACTTCAGCAGGTAACTTCAGCAGGTAACTAACTTCAGCGGGAGCAACAACACACGAAATTGGCAATGGTAACGGTTGACGTAATCAGGACTCTCATCAATGACACGGCAGACCACTCTGGTCAAAACAAACGAGGGCGGAAAAGAAGGAATAGCGAGACGGACGGGAACAGGCAGCGCAAACCACCAAAGAGGCCAAGGAGGACAACAGCTGGTAGCAACATCTCACTGGCCAAAAACATGGCGCGGCCAAACCATTGCAAAGATGAATGGAGACAAAGAAGTAAAGAGGACAAGAACTGACAGGAGATGACGTCATGACGGCGAGGATGGTAATGTTGACTGTGATGATGCAGAGGAATTGGATAGTGAGGATGATGGGGAAGAGGCGGAGTACGGTGGTAGCTACAAGACAGACAAGTACGGACGGAAGGTGGAGAAGAAGTCAGCGGTCTATCGACATTTGTTGTCCAGTGATCGGTGCCGTAAGTTGCATGATGATGCATGTACTTGGTTAGCTGATTTATGTTTTGCCCGCAATGTTCCCCAGTTAAAAGTGTTGGAAGCAGTGTACATTCACAAACAGAAGCCAGGCCTATGCATGCAAAAGGAATCAGTTTCTGCACTCACGCCTTTCCCCTTGTGTTTGTTTTCACCAATATCTCTGTCTGTCTGTCTGTCTGTCACTTGCTCAATGTGCTGTTACATGCATAATTTGCTACACACCTCTCACATTATTATTATTGTTTAGTTTTATCACCTCCCTTTAGCTTTCAATTTGGTTGCATAGTTAGCACCTGACGCAGTGACGGGGGGGGGGAAGAACACGCAATTCGCTCATCCTACCCCCAGACCGGACAGCCAAATTGCTTTTAAAATTCGCCTCTGTTTCTTGCTTTCTCTGCATGGCTCCTTCTTCCCCATGCCACTAAGCTCACATCATGCCTCAGAGACTTAACCCAGCTTGCAGCACTTCAATGGTCCCCATCTAGTTACGTTTTCTTTCTTTTTCCTTCTCCCTCTTTCTTTCTAGGTATTTATATTTCTTTACGTTCCTCAGCCGTGGTTGGCCTTCACGTCCTCCCCTTTGATTGGCAACATGTACATGCTATGGGATATGGAATAAATAATAAAAATAAAAATTCAAAGGATCAGTCGGGGAAGTGAACTGCCTGAAAAGAGAAAAAAATGCCAGACCTACCAGGACTCGAACCCCAGACCTTGCTTGTCATAAGTAGTGCTCTAACTTAGACTGAGTCTAACCATCTGAGCTGAACCTAGAAGGCGCTGACAAGTTTACACTCCAAAGGCAGCTCACAACACGGCAATTCACTTCCCCTACTGATCCTTTGAATTTGAAGTTCTCCCAATCCTCTCAACACTTTGTGTGTGATTGTGTGTGTGTGTCATTATTCTTTTATTCCACGATGGCGTGACGCCAATAAGGATGATTGATAAGTGCGATAGAACTGGTACTGGCTTAGAAACAGCTAGATGGAAATTAACCGGGGAGGCAAGAAGCAATGGATCATGAAAAACAAGCGGGGGCAATAACGTTAGCAGGGGTGATCGAGATAGTTAAGTACACGTTCGAGATATCAGAAACCAGGGGGATGCGCGGAGCAGGAACAGGTACTGCTCAAAAGAAGACTGGATGCATTGCTTCGGAAAGAATATCTACGAGGTTGGGTGGTGATGTCGATAGGGAGTGAGTTGTAGAGGGTGAGGGCACTGTTGATGGGGGAATCTCGGTGCCTGTTTGTGTGTGCGTGTCCGATGGAGTAGGTCCTTGTCTGTCGAAGGGTGTATGGTTGGTGTTGACGTTGTGGTGCAAGATGTGGTTGTTGCAGGTGTGGTGGGGAGGTTTGGTGGTGGATGTCCCATGCTAGTAGGACTTGTTTAACAAGGAGTCGCGAGCTAAGGGTGGGGAGCTTTGCATGATGGAGGAGGGGAATCCGAAGGCAGATGCGTATAGCACGGCGTTGAATTCTCTCCTGTGTGCGCGCGTGTGTGTGTGTGTGTGCGTGTGTGTGTGTGTGTGTGTGTGTGTGTGTGTGATTGTGTGTGTGTGTGCGTGTGTGTGTGTGTGTGTGTGTGTGTGTGTGTGTGTGTGTGTGTGTGTGTGTGTGTGTGTGTGTGTGTGTGTGTGTGTGTGTGTGTGTGTGTAGACGCTCGGCGATGGGCTTTCCAAAGGTCCAAAGAAGGTGTGTGTGTGTGTGTGGAGGCAGGACTTCTTTTATCGCATTTATATGATTACAGATTCTTACCATTAATAAATGCAAAAGAGAGATTGGAAGCTTTGTCACAACTCTGAGTTTCACGTATTGCTACGATCATCAGGCAACAGTTGCCTGGTGATCGTAGTATTGCGTGAAACTCAGAGTTGTGACAAAGCTTGTGTACAAGGCTCTGCACTACATGTACATGTACATACATGTAGGTATTGAGCACTCTTCGGACAGGGAAGCACATCACTTGATTATTATATAATCTTTCGATGACAATTACAGTTTCCTCGGAGACAAAAAGAGAAGGCATGAAAGTTTACTCGTGAAAACCATAATTATTAATTAAACAGAATGTTGTTGAAGAGCCTGAAGTTGGTGCTACTACCGGTACTACATGTACAGGCACACTGTGAGTGCTATCATGGTTACATGTATGTGACACAGTGCTAGTCATTACCCCCTATAATATGGCCTAGGCTATGGCCATGTACTACTAGTAATGCTTCAGCGCAGATCTCCTTCTGGCTGTTCTACCATGCCGTGCATGGCTCTACATCGCACTGATGTCTGGTTGACAAGGCCAGTCCTAATGGTAATAATAATAATTATTACTAACTGGCTTGAGGGAAAGACACAAACGGGAAAAGTCTGAAGAAAACATTGACTGTCACCACCAGGATTCGAACCAGGGACCTTCGCTTGAGGGCCAGCGATGCTCTAACCACTGAGCTAAGGTGTAGCCGTCATCCCAGCAGAGACTGTTAATTAAACATTTTCTTCAGACTTCGTAACTCACCCTTCCTGTGAATATAATTATTACAATAATTATTTAAAAAAAGTGTAACGAGACACAATTACAAGTTTACAACGGTACTAGAGCTACATGTACATGTACACTCATACATGACATAATAATACTAAAGTACCAGTAACTAAATGTCCAAGTGACTGCAAGTCTGTCTGGCATGGAAATTGGATTTGGAGGGCATACCGTGGCAGTAGTGCATTATGGATTTATGCATGTGTCGATGGTCGAGCGAGTGCTAGCATGATACCTGATCTGATGGGACATGATCATTGTACTATACTGACTGCTGTGCTAGGCTGGACAGACAAGCTGGCCTGCTGCTGAGTGCTGGCTTGTTTGATATCATCCGGAAACTACCACCTGATCCACACAAAATACGGTCATCAATTCACACCCGGAAGTGGACCATTTGATCGCTGTCGACGCTTTCCCGTGCGGAGAGCCCAGGACGTTGTCACTGGTCAGCAGGGGTAGTGTCACTGGTGCCTGGTGCCCTGGTGGTGGTGTTTATCATCAGTACTGCAGCGCAGCTCACGCAGCAGTCACGGTGGCGGCGCACTGGAAACGTGTGACGGCAGCCCGATGTTTCCACAGCGGGGCTAGGCCGTTTGCCAGCGTCCAGTGAACTTCTGTTTTGGTTTGAATGCACGCACCGATACAGCTGTTAGGAAACTGCTTCTTTGAAGATGGCAAGTGTGTTACTGTCGCTAGCTGGCCCAGCACTAGTAGTGTTCTTAGTGTTGTAGTTTGTTCGAGTTGCATTCCGAGTATTTCTGACTTCACCTGTAGATCTCGTATCCTGGGCGCTATGGTCTGGGTCGAGTCTAGACGGTCCCCTCTTTAACGCCAGTAACATACCGACCGCCACACCGTACTGTTTCAATATTCTGTTTCCATTCCCGTGTGCTCTGTAGATGGACACGTAGTGAGGTCAGTAGTTGGGCGTGTGCGCACAGTCGTGTGTGGTCGCGGACCTGGGTTTCCCCAAGCACTGTCCTGTACCATTACTGTCTGTATTTCCCGTACCGTTATCTCCATGTTGTTGTCATACTATTACTAGCAGCTCAGTGGGTGTAACCGCCTAGCCGTAATCACCTGTAACAGTGTGACTGTCAACGACTGAGACTAAGTAACGTGTTGCTGTTGTGGCTGCTGCGGATGTTGCTGTTTGGCATGGACAAAACCCCGTCCATTCCTGTTTCTCTACCACCACTGATGTCTGTCAGCGAGGCGCGCTCCAAGTTACGACACTCTCGTCAAGATCAACGCTTGGCGGGTGCTAGAAGAAGTCGTAGCTCTGGTGCTGTTGCTGATGCTGCCAGTGTGGGCACAGCTAGAACGTCTGTTGCTGCTTCTGGTGAGGATGGTGGTGGCGGCGGTGGCGTGGTGGAGGAAGATGAAGAGCCGCCCTTGCTAGTTCCAGCACACCGAACTTCCACCTATGATGGTCCCCAAGAGCAAGGTACATGTACAATCATGTGCACTGATATACATGTACAGATGTACCTGTATAATAGTATTATTATCAGGTTCCAACATTAGCTAACAGTACATAGTACGGGTAATTGTAATGACTATGTAGTACAGCAATCATCATCCAGTCGTAAACTCAGATTCATGATTGTAATGACCGTCATATCAAGGAAATTTATTCTGAGTGTGCATGTGGGGGAGGTGCGGGCGGCTGGGGAGAGGAGGAGCTAAGGGACACCCTGACCCTGCGCCCCATGTCTACCCCACTAGTACTAGTAGTAGTAGGGGGTTATCATACCGACATTTTACATGACGTACAGACTGCAGACGTACGACTTGCAAGCTTGGCCCCTACATGCATGTATGGGAGCTGACACAGTCCATTTTCAATTATTATTTTTCACAGACCCTTCACCATGTTTACGTACGAGAGTCAAGGCAGTTAGACTTAGTAGCAGTACTAATAAGTAATAGTTCATTGTACATGACTGTTATGTACATATGTAGTTCTGTGTTCTTCATTTTACTTTTTTTTTGGAGGACTGGCTACATGTGCATGTAGCTCTCCGCTCCCCGTACGTACCAGCCCTATTAGTATTAGTATTACTATTACTGGTATTAGTATTTTTCCAGCGGGTTGTGCTGAAGTGTTGTACTGTTGTAAATTCAACTGTGTCATAGTGATGCGGTGACTGACAGTCTGTGTGCGCATGTGTTCCTGTAGAAGAAGTGACTGGTGGGGAAGCTCTGCCTGTTGCTGCTCAGGTGGACATGCAACTAGCCAGTTGGAAAAAGGAGATCGATGCTCATTTCCTGTGACCTCCTCTCTTCCTCGGAAATGTCTTCGGACGTTTGCCAGAGGAAGTTTAGCATGTGTGTGTGTGTGTGTGTGTGTTTGTGTGTGTGTGGGTTTGTGTGTGTGTGTGTGTATATATGCGTGTGTGTATATATGCTTGTGTGTGTGTGTGTGTGTGTTTGTGTGTGTGTGGGTTTGTGTGTGTGTGTGTGTGTGTGTGTGTGTATATATATGCGTGTGTGTATGTATGCTTGTGTGTGTGTGTGTGTGTGTGTGTGTGTGTGTGTGTGTGTGTGTGTGTGTGTGTGTGTGTGTGTGTGTGTGTGTGTGTGTGTGTGTGTGTGTGTGTGTGTGTGTGTGTGTGTGTGTGTGTGTGTGTGTGTGTGTGTGTGTGTGTGTGTGTACCATTTGACTTGTAGACAAGTTTCATTATGGGGGTAGGCAACATGAGTATCACTTATAATGGATACAATGTTCTTTGAATTACAGATGGAGCGGACTCGCTCCCTTCTATTTACACTGCAACGTTCACAGTAGTGCTGGCTGGGCACTACTGTGAATATATCGTATCTGGATATTAATATATCACCAATCCCTTTCGCCACCTTTGTAGCTGACACATTTAGCGCAAACACAGCACGGCACAGTATATTTGCTGCTCCTTTGTAGAGTGCACATCATTGCAAACCTGATGAGGGCTATATGCCGAAACGTTGTTTTAACTACGAAAATGTGTTCGAACGTTGCAGTGTAAATAGAAGGGAGCGAGTCCGCTACATCTGTAATTCTGTATGAAACTGCAGGAGGCCTCACCGCTTCTAATGTTCTTTGAAATAGAAGATAGCATTCCCTACTCTCTCTCTCTCTCTCTCTCTCTCTCTCTCTCTCTCTCTCTCTCTCTCTCTCTCTCTCTCTCTCTCTCTCTCTCTCTCTCTCTCTCTCTCTCTCTCTCTCTCTCTCTCTCTCTCTCTCTCTCTGTCTCTCCCCCCTCCCCCCCCTCTCACGCACGCACACACACACGCACGCACACACACACACACACACGCGCACACACACACACACACACACACACACACCCTGCTCAGTGTCACTGCAGTATCTTGTCTGTGATGTACAGTCATGTACTAGTAGTACTTCGTCTTTACTTATGTAGACCGGCACTAGGCCTCTACTAGGCTCTAGGGTTGGGACAAGGAGAGCGACCATACCGTCATACGCCGATACGGCTCGACTAGCGCTGACAGCGCTAGCGAGCTTCCAGTCATCCGGATGCGGATGTGCACGCTGACTTCTGTCTATATTTTTGATGCTGCTGCTGTTGCTGCTGTGTGAGGCTACGGACACGTAACGTTGCTGCGTGGCATCGCTCTGCTAGGACTTGCTGCTGCTGTGTCGTACCTGATCACGGTGGCAAAGCTGCGCAGAAACTCTGGAAGGCATAATATTTTCATGTCGGTTTTGTCAGATCGAGCAGAGGCTGAGCAATATCTTGACAATCTTGTAGCGCGCGGGACCATGCGTGGATTTTGAGCGGATGCGAATGCTGCGGAAAATTTTGTAATAGACCTACTCGGCGAGCAATCCTGTTTCCTCGCTTGACTTGAGCCGTCACTAGGCCCGGGGAGCTGTCATCGTACTAATTCAAAGTACGAAGACAAGTCGTGAAGTACTATAACTCCGGCAGGCGGCAACGCAGTGCATGCGCTGTAACACGAACGACGGGCAGATTAGATAAATCAACTGAGTCTGTGGCATTGTGCTGCCCACCCAGCTCACTCCTCTGGCTCAGCTCACAATACTACTTCAAACTTGCGCGGTTCTGCTGTTTCTCCGCTGGGTCCTACGCCGCACGCAGCTAGCAAACAATGATGGCTTGTCATCAATGAAAACTGCTTGCGGATCTACGCTGAGACTGCTGGTAGTCAGTGCACTGGCACATGCATGTACTAGTAGTAGTATCTGATGTTTTCGGATGGGAAGCAGTTAGGTTGTGGCATCGCGTCCACAACGATCTGTTTCCGTGGTCGTGTTCTTCTTGGCATATCTTTATGCTACTGGCAGTATACCCCGCCTTCGCTGCTTTTGCCGCTTTGGCAAAAGATCCGAACATACAGTGCAGTCAGTGCCAGCTGACTGACGGCTTGTGCCCGGTGCAGTGGTGGAGTTGTGATTGCAGTTCCGTGTCCGCATCTTCATTTCACTGACCGATTTGTTGATTGAGTAGGGCTGCACCAGTCTGATCTGCAGTCCGCAAAACTCATGATCAGTTTTTTTTTGTAATTGTAGTTTTCAACGCACTGTGCTGGCCTGGTGCAACAGACCCATTGTTTCATGAAGTGGAGAGTGTAGTTCGCCTCTTGACCAGGACATTGTTGTAATAGTGTGATCATGAGTGACCCAGAAGAGGCGAATGACGCTCTTCTTGATTTCTGTGCTGTTCCAGAGGTGGAGACGGCGGAGCTGTCGCCACGAGATGCTCATGCTGGCCAATTCCGCCTTCAGCTCTGGCAATTCTTGCTGCTGCTGCTCAGCCGTCCGGAGGATTTCGGCAACACTATCAAATGGACAGATGATAGCGGCGAGTTCAAGGTTTTCGACACTGAAGAATTGGCTCGGTTATGGGGTGGGCGGAAGGGACGAAACACGATGAACTATGACAAACTGTCCCGCTCCCTGCGCTACTACTATGACAAAGGCATTCTGAAAAAAGTTACCGGACAGCGGTTGGTGTATCGCTTCGACGCTGAAATACATCGCCGTCATGTTCAGCAATTGCAGCAGGGCCTTAGTGGTGTTGTATCGCTGCAGTCAAGTCGCAATCCAGCTACTGCTGCTGCAGCCGCTGCTGGAGGCACATATGGCGTAAACTCGGGCGCTGCAGGAGGACAGCGCTCAGATTCACCTTCGTCTCAGCACACTTCCGGTAAGGAGAGCGGAAGAAGAGTGTTCACTGTTTTTCAATTGCCACGCTGAGTGGCTGATAATTGCCTATGTCCTGTATGTTGTTGATAGCTGTGACGTTGCCATCTTGAGCGCTTCCTAGCTCTCTATTTTCTACCTTTGCTGACTCACTTGAGTCGTGAAGTACCAGTAAGAAGTAGGTTGTTGTCCTCAGTTTTATCATTTCCCCAACAACCGCTCGCCAACTCACAATGGGAAATTAAAAAACTCTTTGGGCCAGCGTCCTCCTATGACTATGTGCATCTGCTTGGGTTAGAACGTAACGTCGTTGCGTGTCTTGGTTTGCTTTGGAATATTGCAGTAGATTTGTATCGCACTACATAGGGAAAGCCTATCCTTTCAGGCTTTCATTATGTAATGGCTGTATTCTGCGCTGCGCTCACCAAGATCGGTGGGCACGTGTAGTTGTACTCCGTAGATCTAGTACTAGTACTAGTAGCAGTCTGTCGCGATTTCGAATGTCGTTCCACGTTATCTCGCAACCTGTGTGCATGCAATGCCATGCGCCAGTCGATCGCAATGACAATTATTATTTTGTGGGCCGCAGGAGAGCTGTTGTTACTTCAAATACTTGGCCCCCTGTACAGGTACAAATTCACTGGCACTGGGAAGTCTTCGCTTCTGCCTCGTTGAATGGATCCTGGCCTTGGCTGTGGTCCTGTGGCAGGTTGCAAATGAAGCGCCGACCTCCGGCTCCTGTCAGCTAGCTTCGAAGCAGGGGATCCGCCATGCGCCATGCGCCATCTCCGGGTTGCCAGTGACGCCCAGGGCGTCAAGCAGCTGCCTTATCCTGCGTCGTGTGCGCCCTGGGCCGTGGAGAGCAACGACATGCTAGTGCTTTGCAACGCGATGTTGCAGACTTCTTCCGGGCTGGCCACGTCTTCCAAGTGCACCCTCCTATCTCCGCTTTGGCCGGGACTACATGATAAAATGCCAAAAAAGTCATTCTGCAGACTGTGCATGTGCGCTGGTTAGTTCATTCCGCCAACTGACTGACTGACTATTCAGTGTTCTGACTGTCAACGCGGATAGGATAAAATGTCAAGTTTTTCGAATCACGGAGGCGAAAAGCGACGTCTTGGTCCTGCTCAGCACTGTGCACAGTCGTGTTTCACCTCATTCCGAGACTGTTTGCTGGTCACCAGTTGACAGGTTCTCCGGGTTGGGTGACGTTTGGCTTGACCACGGACCTGTCTGTCCCTGCGACGATCGATCGGATCCATCGTAGTGTCTAATGCAGTAATGGATAGGCGAGTGCGAACAAATAATAATAATTTTTTCAGGCGAAAGCAGCCCTCGCCTCGGTGGTGCCAGAGCAGAGGCCTGCGAGCTAGCTGGATGTTGGCAGCGTAATGACTGACTGCACGCGATTATTTGGCCAGAACTGGCCTGATCCATGCACTATCGCGCGCTCTTGATCGGCAGCTGACCACAAACGCTGGCCGGACGCTCGGAAGCCAGTTCCTGGTGGGACGCTGCCAAACTACACTGCCACACAGGGGGAAAGGATGTCCTGTCAGCCATTTGCGGAGATACGTCTCAACTCAACGTATCTTGTCGGCGTTGAATTACTGCTCAGTTGTCATCCCGGGAAAACTCGGGTCGACATGACAATGCGCATGGGGTAGAACACATTTTCGTCCAGCGCTGTGCAATGTGAAATGATACACTGATAAACTGCGTATCTCCCCAAGCAGGAGGAACTGGCATGTGTAACTTTGAAGAGGCACTTCTCTCAATTCATTGAGCAGCATGCGATGCGGAAATGAGCTTTTTCCAAGTACAGAGGACATGATAATGATGACAGTTCAAAATAACTCTTCTAATGGGACAAGAACTTGAAGAAGTGTGTGTACTTAGCCCGCTAGGCCTGAGCTGCACTTCTCTTTGCATGATTGTTAGCATAGGAAACAATCATGTCACAGGATCTGACATCTGCAGTTCTACCAACTGTATGATTGGTTCACTGGGCAGCTAACATGGGACCATGTCAGTTGGGGGAACTGGTGAGGTGCTACAGTTCAACTCAGGTGTATTAGGAACTAGGATGTGCATGTCAGTTGGGGGAACTGGTGAGGTGCTACAGTTCAACTCAGGTGTATTAGGAACTAGGATGTGCCTTCCAGACCGGGTACCCCACCAGGCACCCTGCACTTGAAAGTGTAGTGCACCATGTTTCCCTGAGTGGACTCTCCGCAGTATTTCTGTATCAGGCGGAGAGACCGGATGTTGAGACACACAAGTGCCTGGGACGGGTTCAGTCCAAGTGATTGCCCAACAGTGTCCCAAGAAATCCAGGCCTGAGGAACTTCTGGAAAACACAAACCCCGGATCCCATCAGATCCGCATCAGATCCGCATCAGATCCGCATCACTATTCTCCTCTGTCTGTGGGACACTGAGTGCGATTCTGCGAATCTGTCATGGTTAGCCTGGGACCATCTGTTCGGTGACAGACTTGGCGCTATGGCGCTGTTTCCGGCTACATGCAGTGCTCACAGTAGTACATGTATGTGAGGAAGATCATACATGCGAATCTCCCCTTTCCTAAATTTATTCCACTTTAGTCCATGTGTGGGAGGCATGGCAGTGCAAAAGGGCAAACGCAGCAGCACATCACTCACCATCTAGAAACCTAACACCAGTATGCCAGCAGTCATCTCAACTTTCCAAGATCCTATTTTGATACTGATGCCAATACAGGGTTACACAAGTACTTTTGAAGTACATGTGGATAAGTACCCCCCCCCCCCCCCCCCCCCCCGTACTTACCCACATACACGGTCGACTGGGGGTAATTATCCACCTGTTTCCGTGTAGTTGGATAAGTACCCCCCCCCCCCCCCCCATAATCACCCACATATGCATGGCAGACGCAACACTATGATGTTATGTTCCTAGAATTGAAGATCAAGGAGAGCTTTGTTCAAGTAAAGTTAGCTGTGCATTGCCATGCTGTGTCTGTATGCAGATGCTGTACTCATCAATGCAGTGAAGCGGGAACAACAAGAGAGAGCTGAGGGTGGTGGCGGAGGCGGGGGTGGTCGCCATGGCCACTCGGCAAAGAGGGCGCGAAAGGAAAAGTCAGGTACGGGACCTGCCGTCTTCGAGCTAACGATTGCCCTGCTTGTTCGTATTGGGTGGTTTTCTCTTCTTGTGTGTGCACTGCTGAAAATTAATGTTCTTCCTCCCATCTTCCTATTTTCCCGCCTTCCTTTCTGATGTCTTCACCACATTTCTCCAGAAGAGGGACTACATTTTGGGAACAATAATGCGTGTTGATAAAGCTTGGAAACAAGGGAGTGCGGGAAGATTGGAGCCTGTGTTTGTCCTTTCTGATGTTTTCATCTTTGCATAGGTATCGAAGAGCATCAGGCGAGCAGTATGGAGGCATCGCTTCTGTTCGGTAGGGCACTGCGAGAAGGCTGCATGGTTATGCCGCGCTGCCGTATGTTCCTTATCGGGCCTCGCCGGTCTGGGAAGACCAGTCTGAAGCGCTTACTTCTCGGCATTGCTCCTGACGTGACTCTTGAAGAATCTGCCCTGGATGGCGTTGACGCCGATGCTGACGCGGCCGTCTTCCACACTAGTAGTCCTTATCACATGGACAGTACCTGTAGATCGGCATTGCCGTGGAAAACTGAGGCAAGCACATGTACATGTCATGCCGTGCTGATATTCATACAATGATAACATGCTTACCGTATATTCTCTATTATAAGCGCTGTAATTTCAACACCCCTCTACCCCGTGCTTATATTGGAGACCGCGGTTGTATTGGAGACCGTGCTTATATTTTTTCAACCAGTATATCCATACAAAGCAAGAAGAAATACATGCTAGATATCATGCATGTAGCATTGATTTCCACCAAGACCGTGCTAGTAATAGAGACCCGTGCTTATAATAGAGAATATACGGTATGTGCACACTTGTAGTTTGTAGTTAAGTTTATGTGCACACTTGTAGTTTGCTCCCTATTGTAAAAAGAGTACTAGTACTAGATTAGTGTCAACATTTTGTGAACCTATGGCTACGATGGTCTGTATTAATTGATGCGGTGGCATCATTACGTTGAATTCTGTTTCTGTCGCCGGCGTAACGTGTTGTGCTTTGCAGGATGTGCGGCACAGTCGACTGCGAGAGTTTGATCGGCGCGTGTCACGCTGGGTTTCCGCCGACTTGATGTCGTTCTCACACGAAGCCGTACAGCAGCGCATGCCAGCTAGCCAGCAGATCATGCTGCACAATGAGCGCAGTCAGTTCATGCCAATGAAATTGGCGGGAATGCCAGCCGGTATGGCTGGAATGGCTCATGCATACACCGGCGTTGCTACTGGACCTACGGTTTCAGCCACGGGCACAACAGCGTCGTCTTATCCAGCCCCAGTGACGCCGTCACGAACGCCACCAGGGGCTAGGCACTCTGCTTCACCGTCAGTGGCCACTGCAGTTAGCACGGCTGGTTTCACAACAGCGTCCAGTTCTTCAACCTCCCAACCGGCTAGCACTTTAGCACCTGGTCCTAGTTCATCGCGCTTTGTTCCTACAGCGAGTAACAGTGGAGCTGCGGTGGTTGCAGCACCCGGTGCTCCGACAATGATGTGGCCATCCACAGGCGCTGCTCCAGGAGTCATCAATCGGCCAACGACGCTCATACAGCCGGTCTACATGCCCACGCTGGCACCAGGTCCTTTCTTCATGTCCGCCGCCACGCAGCCACCGCCTCGTTTCTTCGTGCCCATGAATGCGGCCGGCACTCCCGACATGGCTCACGCCGCCACTGCTGCGGCTGCTGGCTACCCTGCTGCCGCCGCAATGCAACCGCCAACAACAACATACGCACCTGCTACAGGGCCCTTCCCGGACCTGCCAGAGGAGCTGGTGTCTCGCGTTGCATCCTACTTGCGCCAAGCTCGGGGAAAGGGAGTGGTAAGGATGCGAAGGGCGTTCTGCTCACTTCTAATGTGTTTTTTTTGTAGCGGGAGTAAAATGGCGCCTTTGCTTAATTGACATGATGCTACTGGGTGGTTTATGCGGTCAGTTGTCCAGCCATGACTTTGGTCTTCTTCTTTGTATGATGCTTTGTATGCATAGCTTGTATGATGCTTTGTATGCATAGCTTGTATGATGCTTTGTATGCATAGCTTGTATGATGCTTTGTATGCATAGCTTGTATGATGCTTTGTATGCATAGCTTGTATGATGCTTTGTATGCATAGCTTGTATGAATTACCCACACATATAACAGTGATCTTTGTACTATCATCAAGTTACAGTGTATGCCAATGGTGGAGTGATCCGTCAATGGCCGTACATATGATGGTGGAGTGATCCGTCAATGGCCGTACATGTGATGGTGGAGTGATCCGTCAATGGCCGTACATGTGATGGTGGAGTGATCCGTCAATGGCCGTACATGGCTATGTACCATACATGATCTTAGAACCCCTGTGCATTGTGACTGGTGTCATACTGGATTTCTCTACCTCTCTCTGTATTTGGTAGAGTACCTCTCTCTGTATTTGGTAGAGTACCTCTCTGTGTATTTGGTAGAGTACCTCTGTGTGTTCTTGGTATGTTTGCTACATTGCAGTATCTTAGCGGTATCTTGTATTGTTTTATTTATTTCCTTTGAACACGTCCAGGAGTTCTTCACCGATGCTCAGCCAGCGTTCCCAGGTCTGGTTCACATCTGGGATTTGCCCGGTGATACTGTCCACCATGCAGTGCTGTCGTCGCTCATGGTTCGACATGCCATCTATGTGCTAACGTTGGACCTGTCCCTGGATTTGAACTCGCCCATGCCTGCTGAGGATGGCAGCGGTGCGCCTATGGACGGCGATGCAGCAGAGGCCGTGAGCGGTGCTTCCGACAAATCCTACCTGGAGCTGATTATCGACAGTCTGGACTTTGTGCGGGCTTGCACCTCGGTGAGTAGAGATTGGTGACTTGTACACAGTGGAGTGTAGCTGCCCTTTCATGCAGCTGGTGTTGAATTTTCTCCAGCCTGGCCTTGACGATGTGTGGCCCTGAGCACAAACGCTTCTGTATTTTTTGTGACTGCACATACTCGTAGCGCTCAAGACTGCAGATCCTCTTTAGAAAGTTGTTTCTCTAGTTGCTAGCACAGTGAACTGGAACTCTCTCATCCGGTCCGTCTCCTACAAAAACAGAAACGAAAGCTGGATGAGCAAAAAGTGAAAAGCGGTGCGGCTCACACTGTAGTATATCAGCCGTTACCCCACTATCAAAAAGTTAAAAAAAAAAGGAAAGTTAGCCCAGATTCGCGGCCGCACCTCCTGACGTGTTTGGTTAACACATCAAGCAAATACATTCGCATCGGCGGGCCACCACTTTGCCCATATATCCTCAGTGCCGAATGCAAACCTCACACGTGAGCCAGGGGAGGGGTACCTCACTATCAGGATTGCTCATATCTGCGGGCTGTGACTGTTTTTGCCCTATTTTAACGTTCTTCACCACAACGCAGTGCACAATGCCTCACAACAGTTGCCATGAGACGAAGCATGCATGCAAAGAATGTTTGAGCGTTGCCAGAGTGCTTGAAATGCTGCACTGGCATCACGCTTGCTCAAGGTTGGTAGAGCGTGTGCGCACTAGGGCTAAGTGCTTTGCTAAACTGCATTGCGTGTTGGGATTGTGCATTGCTATTGCGTTTGCAGCACCATCAGGATTCCGCCTCCGTGCAACGCCTGGTACCTGCCGTTGTGATAGTCGGAACTCACCTGGACTTGCTGGGACCGCCTGACTCGGACCAGGCCAAGCGGCGGGCACGAGAGCGCTTCGCCATGGTAAAGCGAGCACTGCAAGGACGACTCAGCAGAAAGTACATCACCTTCCCGTTCTTTGCAGTCGACTGCTTGTTGGCAGGGCAGGAAAATGACCATGTGAGTGTTAGCACCCACATGCATGTCGTTACCTAGAAAATATAGAATTCTTACAAAAAATATATGGCCGGGAATATCTTGTAATTGGCAGCTCTCTGATCTATGTAAATAGATCGCTGATCTATTACTGAATTCATCTGTTCGAAGGTGGTTCAAGAGTGAAAACCATACTTTTCTTAGAGCAGACGCCATTGAAGCAAGAAGTTAGAGTTTATCTCCAGTGTAAGTTTATATTCGTGCACGGCTTGGGAAAGACCCATACATCTTCACGGCACTCTCCAAACGGTCTCTGGGCTACACCAATCGCTAAAAGAAAAAAAAGAAAAGATATAAATCAATTTAGAAAAGAAAAGGACATATGGATACGAGTTAAGAGTAACTCTCCATCACTGTAACTGGATACTATATACAGTCAGAAAGTGCAATAACTAGGCACAAAACTGACAGAGTACTGAGACATCCGACGTCCCGACACCTAGCTTCAACACATCTCCGTAGCGCTAACCGACAGCCTTCCAACTTGGAAGGTTCAAGGTTCTGAAAAGACCAAAGAGGGGAAGGCAAGCGCAACGAAAACGAGCAAAAGCTACAGTCCCAACGGAACAAAGAATGTCGATTGTTACTGGACGATGACAAGACCAGTACGATATTTGACAAAGCGGTCTAACTACAATTCGAAGCAGCAAAGCAGCACACCACCCAACTTGGGTGGGTCATAAACTCGTATCCATATGTCCTTTTCTTTTCTACATTTATTTATGGCTCAACATCCGAGTTTATAAATCAATTGATATCTCTTGTAGCCCAGAGACCGTTTGGAGAGTGTCGTGAAGGGTGTATGGCTATGGTGTATGGCTATAGTGGAGTCATCGCACTCAAGTTGAGAAATGGCTTGGGAAAGAGGTACTAAAAGCCCAATGATGCTGAACAGCGATATTTCCTGTCTGTAAACTCCATGCATCAATGATGATTGTGTGTTTGCTTCAACATGATTTGCTGTTCACTTCTCCTAACAGCGGCTCATATCCCCACTATCCAGTGACGCATGCGGCCTTGTGCTCTAGGCAATGTTCTAGTAGCACACCTTACCCAGTCTTCAACAACATTGTATGTCCTTGCTTACCTCTATACAGGCTGATCTGCTGCGGTGCCATATCGAGGATGTCACGCAGACGTATTTCCCCACCTCGTGGCCGTACGCGTACCTGCGCTTCGAGCAGATCATCGAAGCTGAGCGGCGACGTGGGCTGGTGTGCCTGCCCCTGGCTGACGTGATGAAGATGGCCAAGGTGCATTGCCTGCTGGAGCAGCAGGCCACGTTCACCATGCTAGCTCACATGCACAACCTGGGCTTGGTCATCTACACACCCAGAGTGAGTATTAGTAGTGTTGCATGCATGTGTGTGAGCATGTACATGTAGTGTTGCATGAGTGCGTGTGAGCATGTACATGTAGGTATCCATATACATGCATGATAGTGTTAGTGCACCGAGTGCCAATAGTATCAGTGCACAAGATCTTGATATGCTCTTTGTGGACAGTTGCATGTCTGTGCCAGGTTACTCACTGTGACTCACTGTATTTGGCACTAACTCACTTCAACCATATCGGAGGGTAATTTTTTTGTGTAGTTGAGATAAACAGACATTTACCGGTATATCATTGAGAGTGCGGCAGAGGTAAATTTCCGGCTGGGCCAGATAGTGGAACTGTCACGGCTGTTTTTTTTCGCGAAATTTGGACATTTTTAACAAGATGGCAGCCAAAAGTCTCGATTGGGCTGGATCGGCAAGGAAATTTGAATTTTCAATCTCAGCACCCGATTTCGCTGTGGTTTTCGCTCGATTTAGAAAGCTACCAGGCCAGGTTTACCCGGAAAACAGGTATTCCGTGTTCCTCTTGAAACTAGCTTTCCGCTGGTACCTCACATGGCCAACTTCCTCGCAGGAACAGTTTGTTCCGCGTTGCACAAGTCAAGCCTTCTTTCTCGCTCGTTCCTTGATTCATCGTTGACATGCCTGCCTCAAGAAGCCCTTTCAGAAGTTTTCCCAGTCTAGCTTTCAGTTTTCCCAGGTAGAGGACTATCTTCTGGCTATCTTCACCAAGTTTTATCACGGGCCGTGCACAAACTTCAGATTCCGTGCGTGCGATGCTGAGCTACCTTTTCATGCGATTTAGGAGACAGATGGCATGGCGCTGGAGTCGCTGTCGAGTCCAGGAGGCCGAGGCCTGGTGGAAACTGCCCAGTAGACATGTGGAGTACTGCTGAAAAAGGCAGCAAGCACGCAGATAGCCCCGAAATTGTGATGTAGATCCAATTGTGCGTTTGTTCGAGTGCATATCGGCAAATTTGAAAGTTGCACCCATGATCCCGACGAGGAGAAGCTGAAAATCAGTGCGTGCGTCAATATCCAGACTACCAGGGATAGCTTGGAGAGGTTCGAAAAGGTCAGGATGCTGGTTGACCATGGCAGGAGTTCATTTTACCTTCCTTCTCTCTCAAATTGTCTGGATATTGAGTATCTCGCTCGAACGCTTTCAAATAATAAATCCTGGTTTGACTTGCGAAATCGTGGAACCACACGGAGAGTGACATGAGTTTCATCCCAAAACGCAAACTCCCATCGTATTCATGAGGTTTGTACCGCGTTACGTAAATCGCACTAAACGACGCCATATTGTTAAATGTCCGTGCTCGAACAGCCGTGCTGTGCTCATACGTTGTCGTGAATATGCATCACGAATCCGCGTTACGCTCATTATGTCTTTATTTGTTTATGTGTTACATCATGTTGACGTCATGCTGATGTCTTGCTGCACGCATCGCGTGCACCGTTTTGCAGCTCTCAGCCCGGAGTATGCGCAGCGAGCCTGTGGCTCCTTTTTTGCTGCCTTTTCCCTTTTGCATGCTTCACTTGTCTCTACTTGTCTCAACCTTGTCTCAAATAAGGTTTTCTGGTGACACTCCTTTTCAAGTCGCCTAATCCTTTCATGTAACAAGTGCAATGTCGTTCCGTGAACCGGAACCACTCCATATTTGAGTTACCAAGACGTATTTGTGTGTGGCTATCCAAGCTCTCCCACTCAACAGTTCAAAGTTGCGCACATACGTTACGATAATTATAGCTCCAAACTTGCTTTCGTTTGTTTATGGGGAGGGTGCACTGTGTAATGGTTGTGGATGTTGGGAGAGAGGAAGACCTAGTGTAGAATATAATCTTTTTTACAGAAGATGCCCTCCATGGGCTTGACAATATAAGGAAGCCAAGTCGGGCAGCAAGGTTATTATGGTGTTGCTGGATGTGTGCGCTGTTGTGTGTAGATTGCACGCATGGATGATCTGGTGGTGATCCGGCCACAGTGGCTGCTCGGTGCCGTCAATCGGCTGATCTGCACGCCGCCGACGGAATGTGCTACACCGGCCCTCGCCAGCAGCTGGCATCACTTGGCCACCGAGGGCGTGCTGGAAGAGGAGCTGATCTGCGAGGCGTGGCAAGACTACGGCGCAAATCAGTCTCTCCTGCTGGACATGATGCAGCGCATGGACCTCATCTGCCCCAGCTTGCCACACGTTATAGACCGCTGCATTGAGAACAGTAGTATGACTGCTGAAGAAGAAGAAGAAATCCCCCAGTTGGAGGTATGCTTGCCTTTTTAAAAAATGGTCTTCCATATTTTCCATCCATGAGTGAGAGCATCATCAGGGATGAGGATGTAGGGTAGGATCGAAGCAGGTTTAAAGCCATTGCAAGAGTAGTCAGATTGAACAAAAACAGGATTGTGGCATTATAGACGTATTTCAAATGTGTTAACAGGTTCCTCTGAGACGATAATGCGATAATAGCCTGAGCCTGAGCAAGAGCCAGAAGTGCGTCCTTCTTATCAGTATTATGGACGTGTTTGTAAAGGAGTTCTTTCACCGAACAGGAATTCCAGTGCTACTACTCACAGAAACCTAGAACTCAGCTCTCACGTGACCTGTCGAAGGATGGGCATGTCCAAGATCGCACTTGCACACATGGAATACTGAAGTACATGGCCATCCGGCACGTACCGACCATTTAAAAATGAGCTTTATCCGTTCTACATGTATTTTGTTTACCAGGAATGAACGAATATTTGATAGATTCGATTTGCCACTTGCTTAGGTATACTGCTTACCATTCTGCCACATGCGTTGATATTATTTGGCAGGTAATCTTGTTGCTAACAGAGTGTTGTTGTACTATGTCTCTGCATTGTTTTGCTTCTGCTGCTGCTGCTGCTGCTGCTGCTGATCTCCTACAGAGCAGTGTCTACTATCTTCCATCAATGGTCCAGTTTGGTCCAAGTTACGAGGAGTTCCTGCATGCTCTGTCGCCAGAGCGAGTCTCGGCAACATTGATGATCGTCTTTGCGGACAACTTCCTGCCGGGAAGTATCTTCCCGCATTTGCTGCAGAGATGCCTTCTCTTGTGTCCAATGAGACCGCATATCTTCAAGCAGTGCGCAAGGCTGGCGGTGGATGCTGACCATGACTTGCTGTTGCTTGCCAACAAGGTATGTCACTGAGTTGTGTGTGTGTGTGTGTGTGTGTGTGTGTGTGTGTGTGTGTGTGCGCGCGCGCGCTCGTGCATGCGTGTGTACATGCATGTGTGTGCCGCACGGCAGGTTAAAATAATTCATAATCACTTTTAAATGAGTTGGAGCTAGGTGTCAGGTCGTTTAATGTCTCAGTACCCCTGTCAGTGCTGTACCTTATTGTCGCACTATCTGACTGTGTATCTCGTTACTGTTACCTTGGTGGACTGTTGGGCATAACTCGTAGCATGTCGGTCCTTCCTCGGCGAGGTCGACCATCATATCGTAGCTTTTCGAAGCAGTTCTTCAGAGTCTCTGGGAGGTACGACATCGCCATGATGAGCCCATAATACTCGAGCATGCTGCTTGCCACATTTTGAGACGAGCTTTCCGCTTCCGTTTGCTTGAAGTCGATGCAATGAAGGCGAATGGAATGGCGATCGTTTGAACTTTGCCCACCTCTGCAGCATTTTAGGCCACGGGGAACAGAGGCCATGCAGGTAGCTGGTATTGGTCGCTTCATCCCGGAAATACCTTTCCAGCCCTGCCTTGTTCGGTAATATCGGTGAAAGCTTGGCAGAGATATGAGCGAAAGTGCATTTCATATGAAAAACAATAATACTCGTCGTACTTTCCGTAGGGTCAATCTATATCTATGTGGAGTGATGTGTAACATAAACCTTTAGCAGTCACTCATCTTACTTCTGCTGCTGTGTGTCTTCTTTGACTGAACAGGAGACATTGCAGGTGGTGGTTGAAAGCACTGACTATTCATCAGCCGCATCACCGCCACACTCCGATGTCTGTGCGGAGGTGCTGCGCTTCATTGTGACGTGTCTGAATGAGTTTGCAAGCCAATATGAACATGGTGAGGAGCAGGAATAGAAATACATTCAACAACTGGTCATACTACAAACTGGTGTGACCATCAGAAAACATGTTGGCAGTTTTTTTGGAATAACTGATTGCAAGGAGTTAATCGGGGTTCACAGAAGCATATTTGCGATGCAATGCGTAATGTGATGCGCGTGAAACTGGGAAATCCCAAATTGCACCGGATGAAATTGCACTGATTACACCTTCACTGGCAAGTACCTAGCTACACAAATGCCAGGGTGTCGTATGCCCCACCCTACATTGCGAGTCGACACACATTAGCAAGGTGACGTCGGGTTGCTGATTTCTTCTCCTGTACTTAAAGCGCACTCCGGCTTCATTCCACCATTCTGTGTCACATCAGCACGGCCAGCATGCGTCTCTCCATGAACCAATGTTTTGCTGGATGTGGCAGTCTCCTGGGGAGGACATTTACTATTTAGGCTCCCTGGAATGGAGGATACGGCACGATTTCTCTCAACGTTGGGAGAACATTGCAAACAACATCCTCTGCGATCGGATTTCTCCGAATATAAGTGCGCTGGATACATCTTCACTGGCAAGTCGAGCACATGTGACGCCCTCGGGTCCTGACTCGACAAAATTCAAAAGTTACCTTCGTGTCTGACTCGATCTCTTCAGGACAGTTCACCATTCTTGGTGGAGAGGTCCTCTTCTTTCACCTACCTTCACCCTGCCATCGACATTCGACATCCAAAACGAATTAAGTAACTCTGATGTAGCTAGTGCTTCTGTGTAGTACTCAATGTGTACTGATCCAGATCTCACAGGTGTCATCTCAGCTTAGGCAGGAAAAATAAATCTGAAAACATGACCCGAGACTGGCGTATACAATTTTTGATTGGCCCGCCATACCAATGCTTCCCATACATTGGGTATGATATGGTGTGTACAGATAACCTCCCATACATTGGGTATGATATGGCGTGTACAGATAACCTCCCATACATTGGGTATGATATGGCGTGTACAGATGACCTCCTAAGCAGCAAACAAGCATTGGTGACCAAGGAGTTGGTACAGCCATGGTGTGACCAACCAAACCGGTTCAGCCGTCCCTGTGAAAGTATTTTTCTGATACTGTTGTCCTTGTGTGTGTTCTCTACACTTGCCAGGTATTGACTTTGAGGTTTGCGTGGAGTGCACATGCTCTGCTCCGACTCCGTCTAAGCCGCCAGCATCCTGTGTCTATCTGGATTGCTCGCCAGATGAGCAGCATTATGCCAAGCTGCCACTGACTCGCATTGTCAGCCCTTCTGCGCATATGCCACTCGGGACGTCGCATGCAAACAGCAGCAGTAGTCAGGCTGCTGGAAATGGTCCTTTCGAGTGGATAACGTGTGCACGAGGCACTGACATTGCTGTGCCACTCAACGTCCAGGTGTGGATTGAGCCGGGATGTCACCGCTCGGTGAGTCCATGCACCAACATGGAGCAGGTAGTGGGCAATGTTGTGGATGCATGCATTCCTAGACGAGATCTTGTTGATTTCCACGTAGTAGCCTCTTGCAGGGCCTATGCAAGCCTTCATAGGCTGTCTTTATGTATGCCATAGAACCAGGCTGCAGTCAATACAATTCAAACTAAAACACTGTGTTCTTTTTCTTTCACATTTTCTTTCCTATGCTTGCACCATAGAACCACTTGCATTGCTATTTTTCTCATGTGTGCTGTTGATGATTAGGATTCTCAAAGCGTCTCCGAGTGCCTGCACTACAATATACGCCTGCGGCTCTCGCAGCTGCTTGACCCACATCTCGGGGGCCGGGCGGCGTTGATGCTGGGTGCTTTGCTCGGCTTCTCTCCGCACGAGATCAACCGGCTGGAACAAAGCGATAGCCTAACAATGTCTCTGATAGAGGTGAGGCTATCTCCACTTAGAAATCCCCGGTGCACATCACTGACTGTACACGTAGTGTGTCAAAACGTTTAGTTAAGTTCGCCCATCCACGTTACCACTGGCTTACAATTATGTTGAGAAACTAGCTAAAAGAAGTTTCGCTCATGCCAGGCCACCACCATGCCTGATCATACCAGGCGTGCGCTGCTGGGTAAAGGACATGAGCAGGTATGCCATATGAAGAATCACATCTACAATAGCGGAATGTATCAAAGGTGCTGCGGAGTGTATCAAAGGTGTTGCGGCTTCAACGTGATACAATGTACAGTGATGCTCAGTGACATCCGATCGAGTGAGTCAAGTAGGCGTAGGGTACTGTGCAGCCCTAGACCGGCGGACGTTGGGATTTTCACTCGTACAGGGTTAGAGCTGACTCGCGTGATCGGATTCCATTGAGCAGCGCCCTGCGTGGTCTATGGACCAGAGTAGCCAGACACACTTCCTGTGACTACCGACCACCCCTTGGGGCCAGAGAAAGCGGTCTTTAGTGGCAGGTGGTCCTTAGTTAGAGGTTTGCACCGCACAACCGTATATGAATATGAGACCGTCCGTGCCTGGCGAAGTGGTCTGTAGTACCTGGCTGGTCGCTAGTCACGGTGGTCTTTAGTTACAGGTTTTACTGTAGAGCCACCAGTGTAGCGTAGGATTATCATATTGCGCTTGCATGTCTGCTGTACTAGAATAACATGCTTAGGTGCCCAGTGTTACGTGTATAGCTTATGTGCAGGTAGGTTTGAGGTACTGAAGTGCTATGGACTTCCTTTCTGTGTGTTTCTGCTTGTGTAGACTTGGGAGAGTCGACCGTCAAGTTCAGTGTCACACTTGCGAGAAAAGGTTGCTCTGCTGCGCTGTGAAGATGCTATCGACCTGCTGGACTCCATTTGAAAGCTGACTGCTCGATCACCTCTGAAGTATGTCTCTGTGTGTGTGATCATATGCCTCGAGTTCCTGCATCAGGGAAGCTCTGCTCACATACAGGTACAGAAATGTGCCCAAGGTCCACTTGTTGGCCCAAGTGATGTTGCTCGTTCAACCAAGAGCATGGGATAGTCGTTCCTTTCATCTTGCATGAGGAGTCATGCTGAAAACAACGAAGAGTGGAATGACTAAGTATCAGCCACATGGTACTACCATTGGTCGCAACTGCAATCAGAACTTGTGCAGCCGATGCCAAGCACTCTAGAAGCGCTTATTTAGCCTTCAAACGCTCAAGGCTGTCATTGTGCAGTGCCTACACTTTGGAGAGGAGGTATTCACCGGCATACTCTGAGGCTATTACTGTTCAGATCATCAGGCTTCGTTGACATTCCGCCTGGCCGTAGCCATCAGCTTCATCAATTGTTCCATCCTTCACAGTTTATCTCCTTACTTATTACCAAATGATGCTGCAGACTGGAGCAGGCTCCAGGTGCATTCTGGCACAAAAGTTCTTCATTTTATTGAACACCATATCGTATTTTTTTGCATTTTATCTTTCAAATCCTTTATTCACTTCATTGTGATAATTGTAGCCCATTCTGCCAGTGTCCACGGCATCTTGCTTCCACATCTTTATATGCACCACATGCTGTACTTTATTGTCAAGCTATCCTGGCATAGTGTATATAGTACTAGTGTTCATGCCCCCCCCCCTCCCCATCCTCGTTTTTTTGTATGCTAAGCTGTTGCTGTTACAGCCAGGGAGTCGTAAAACACCGGTAGCGTGGGTGCAGCAGCGGGTTGGAAGTGCCCCGGTGACTGCCCGGCGAGTGAGGCGTTTGGTTAGGTTGTGTTGGTGGCGCACACGGCAATACCCCCTCCCCTGTATGTTCCAGTGTCTCGAGCATCTGCGTGTTTAAATTGGAGCACCGCCCGTGTGCTGGGAGCTATGTGCGATGCTCTTGGTTTGCGTGTGCCGAGTGATGTTTTGCTGAAAATTATTGTGTATTATTCTCCACTATTGTACTCGTACTTTGAACGTACATATTCCGAATATTTTTCTTTTACAACACAGGCATTCACAATTCACATCCTGATCATTTTCAGCTCAATGGATTATCCCTATTTTGTTTGTTTATATTGATTCCCAAATTATTATGCTATTCCTACTTTTAACACATTGTTTTCTTCGTTTTATGGAAGCATGTATCTTTATCAGCACCGCGTACCGCCGACCTCAGTGGTATAGATCCTTCGAGTAGTATTGTTCACATGCAGTGTGATGGATGTGCACTGCACACATATCATCACAATCCGTTAATTTGTGAAAGAGAAATAAGTGCTATTCAGTTCTGTTATCCAGTTTAGCTCGGCGTCTATGCGGACGGTGTTTGTGACATGTGACGTGTGTGTGTGTGTGTGTGTGTGTGTGTGTGTGTGTGTGTGTGTGTGTGTGTGTGTGTATGTGTGTGTGTGTCTGTGTGGGAGAAAATCTGCGGGTGCACATCCAGTGCTTTTGCAGATTTGCAAGCTTCTCTTGTGACGGGCACATGCATGGTATGTGGATGTGTGTGCGTGTGTGGCGTTGCTAGCTGGTTTGGTGGGCAAAGAGTCGATGATAAACGGGCAACACAGACATACGCGTACGAGGTTTGTGTCCTAGGCATACAGCACACCAGTTGTTGAACTATAACAGATCCCTCAACTCCAACTGCAGGGACTACACTATGATATGAGTAGGAATACGAGGCCATGGCAGCCACGATCTCGACTTGCTGACCATTGCAACAGACGCGTGTGCACGTCCATGCACGCGTGTATTGTTGCAATGAATTATTAGTAAATGCTTGCCGCTAAAGCGTCGTTCTTCTCCTCAGGTCGAGGGCTAGCTACACAAGAGTACTCATAGCTTAAAATGGGACTGCGGTGACTGCGGTCAAAGCCAAAGCCAAAGGCCGAAAGATCAACTATTCACCTTCCGGCGAACTCACAGACATAATTCCCACAGCTGGTGACGTCAATCGCCGGGGAAAGCCGTCTATTGGCCCATCCGGCATATCCCAGGTAACAATCATCTGTGGGGGTTATATTAGAGAGGCTGCGCACAACGAAAATTCGTAAGATCTTGACCATCCGGGTTCGAGTAACTGCGGCTACCATTGAAGAGTCCATCAACATATGCATGGATCCCGCAGAACCGAAATTAGGTTCTTTTCCGCATTTACACTGTACTACAGAGATTGAATAAGGAAGAATTTTTTTTAGAAAATTGCTCTGAACTATGGCCACGATCGAAATGTTACTAGGCATCAAACCAGTAAATCACGCCAACAAGACTAAAGGCCGATTCACAATACAACTAAAGCGGGATTCACAGAAGCTTTTTTGCGATGCGACACGCGATGCGACGCGATCTGCGATGGATGCGTGCGATGCGAACTCGCGAAATACCATTCACAGAAGAAGTCAGCGATGCGACAAAGTTTTGCTGATTTGGGTACGTCACCATGATATTCGCGCGGTTTGACACAACTTGTAAAAAATTATAGGCAACTCTTGCACCTTTGTACAACTTTGCTGTAGAAAAGGTCAAAATCGTACACCAAATCGCTTGTCGCATCGCATCGCATCGCAAAAGTTGAGCCAAGCTCAACTTCTGCGATGGCCTGCGATGGCCCAGTTGCGGCAGTTGCGTGGGGTGCGACATGGCAGCGATTTGGGGTTTTCCCGGTTTCGCGCCTGTCGCATCGCGTGTCGCATCGCAAAAAAGCTTCTGTGAATCCCGCTTAAAGGCCGATTCACAATACAACTTTCTGCGACGCGACATGCGACTTGCGACGCATGCGACGAGCTGCGACAGCGACACACGGTTCACAATATTCTTCATGTTTGCGACATCCTCATGCACAAGTAGTACTATGCACGTGCACTGCACGTACACTGCACGTGCACCCAGGGTCGAAACTGTACTCCATTTGTGTATGTCGCGTGTCGCATGTCGCAAAAGTTGAACTTTCTTCAACTTCTGCGACAGGTGCATTGCGACAGCTTGCGACAGCTTGCGACAGCTCGCGACAGGCAGTTTCTTGTCGCAACTGTCGCAAATCGCGTGTCGCGTCGCAGAAAGTTGTATTGTGAATCGGCCTTTAGTCTTGCGACGTGACATGCGACTTGCGACACCTGCGACAGCGACACACGGTTCACAATCTTTTTCATGTTTGCGACATCACAAGCTATAAGGCCGATTCATACTTCATGTCGCGTACGGGAAAGCGATGACTTTCCCGTACGCGAAATAGTTGAGCTCAGATCAACTTTTCGCGATGCGACGCGTTTCCCGTACGCGAAATGAAGTATGAATCGGCCTTCATGCACTAGTAGCACCATGCACGTGCACCCAGGGTAGAAAACTTTACTCCATTTGTGTATGTCGCGCGTCGCATGTCGCAAAAGTTGAACTTTCTTCAACTTCTGCGACAGGTGCCTTGCGACTGCACGCGACAGCTCGCGACAGGCAGTTTCTTGTCGCAACCGTCGCAAATCGCGGGTCGCGTCGCAGAAAGTTGTATCCTAATAATAAGGACGTTTAGCAATGCGAAAATACTAACTTTTTGTGGTGGTGATATTTCGCGAAAATCTAGTCGAAAAAGAAAACTTATGAGGTTTAGCAAAGCGAAATGACTTTTTCTCGATGTTATTTGAATTTTATAGTACCGTACCGTATACTGTATAGCAGGAAATTTTCGGACGGAAATATTTTCGGACAAAGCCGAATTTCGACCTTTCGTACGGATTTTATTTTCGCACAGTGCTGCATGCTAAATGCACGCGTTCGAATGCGGTACGCATGTATAGTGCACATAACTTCACAGAACGAATTTTAGTACGGAATTAATTTTAGTACAAAAGAGGCCGTGTACGAAATCGTACGAAAATATATTCCGTCCGAAAATTTAGTGCTATACAGTATGCAGCTCTGTCTCAAGCAGGGGGCTGTAAAATTACTACTCCCTGAGTTTCGAGCTTTTTTTCTGTACTCATTCCCAGACTCGAATTTTCTTTCGAACTTTCGCATTGCTAAACGTCCTTAAGGGGGTTCGGGACAGTTAGCCCCAAAAATTTAATTTCAACATCAGCCCAATCTGACATCAGATTTGAATAGGTACAGCCTTATATTTTCGCTTAGTAACATCAGTTTTTCAATTGCCTTAATAGGTCTTGCCAAAAACACAATTTTCCTTGATGACACAAAATAACACAAAATCCCAAAATTGATGAGAAATCGTCCATAACATCAGTTAGGACAGAAAATATGACATAAAATTTTACAGACTGTTCGAGGTATTGACTAAAATGATATCAACACCGAAAAATGTACACTTTGGTTGACGATGGGATTCAGGTCGTCATTTCCTGGAGAAGAACAAAAAGACGCAAAAAATGAAACTTTTAATATTTTTTGCAGCTTATTTTTGAGTTTGCCCCATATGTGGATACTTCAAACACGTTCTATAAGTGGGTTGGAACAGGTTTACCGCGGCGAAAATAGGGGTCACCGTGCATATTCTGGAGAAAAATCCAAAAAACTGTCAAAATTTGCCTAAAATTGGTAAATTCACGTATCTACATTGTATATTGCTTGTACTTCTCTGCTGCTGCTTTGGTCATAACTTATTGGATTTTTGGCTGTTAATAGGTGTTGCATAAACTCACTAGAGCCCTCGGCGTTCAGAGCAATACAAGGATGGAATAGCTGAACTAGTAAATTTGCCGGAAAACCCTGGGTGCACGCATTATCGATAGGTACTTTTCTCCATGATTACTCTCCTGTTGGCACTTGGTTGTGATACATGTACATGTACATGTAGCTATGATAGCGCTTAGCACTGCCCCATATCAAACTACAATGAAAGCTGACATGTTGGAACGAATCAGACAACATTGAGTCCTCTTGTTCTTCAACTATGCGAGCTAGAACGTGTCCCCACACTGGCAAAAATGATGGTATTTTACGGTGCGCACAAACAAGTGAAGCACTGTGCCACAGGGCGTTCCTTACAGTTGGGTTGCTGTTGGTTCTTCGCTAGGTGTTCAGCCACCACTAATATAATCTTCCTTGAGACTGTCACCCACTTCTTACCTCCGACTTGCTCCTTCATCAGTCTGGAAATGGCTGGCTCACCATTTCGTTTGTAGGTCAAGACAAAGTGCTTCATCACCATCCCACTGGCAGCTGCCCGCACTGCAACTGATTTAGAGAAGCACGTTGCTTGGACCAACGGTTGAAGGGTGGCCAGCCGCTTTTGCTGATGTTCTGCAAACTCCATCGCCGAACATGCTGATGCAAAAGTGACAGAGTGCTACAGGATACTGGCATCAGGGCGAGCTTCGACAATTTCAGCTAGGGCCGCAACATCCGCAACAGCATCATGAGCAGCGAACTCATTCCCAACGATGAACTATAAATTAATCTGAGGCTGTAGCTTGGGAGCTCCGGTATCGCGGTTTAGGGATCAGAGTGTTCACCAATCACAAAAATGCACACCATCGACACACACATCCGTGCCCACATACACACACACACACGCACACGCACACAAATATGCAGGCTCTCACACGCAGTAGAACACAGGCGCGCGTACACACACATCCATTCACGCACGTGTGCGTACCCACCCACATGCATGTGCACACTCATGTGCATGAGTGGAGATGCCCGCATACACATGTAACACCAACATGCCCTGGGAGCGGTCATGCACGTGTGTATAGTATGTGTGCGAGGGCACGTCCACATGAGCGCATATGCATGTGCATGTTCATACATGCGTATGGTGCACACATGCACAAACATGCAGGTCTATGCAAACACACACACGCTCGCGGCCGCCGCGCATACAGTGTGCTCATACATTTCCATAGCCATAGGGTGGAAATGACTCCCAAATATCATGAGTACTTGTAAATCTTATGAGATTGAAAAACGCACTTACCCAAAGCAGCTTTGGTGTTGCTTGTGGAAGCACGGGGGCCAGGGTGTTGAGCAGTTACAGGGCTATCTGTATCTATAAAATTCTCCATCCCACAGTCACACTGCTGACACGGAATGACAAGTACGCTGCCCAGGTCGTACCTCTTCTCTTCAACGCAATCAATGAGCGCAAGAGGTTTGCCACATCCAGGATTCTGGCACGCAGACAATCCCACAGCCAGATACCTGAGATGAACGATTCGTCGACCGTGAAGAGGGGCACTGAACGACCTCTTCGCGGGAGTCGAATCCAGTGGCGTTAGTGATGGAGATCGCTCTTTCCGTTTTTCAGGAACTCGATCGATCGTTTGAGTTTGCGAAGCGTCC